TGGAGGGCCATCCAGTGACCTCTAGAATGGACTGGACACTCATCAGACAGGCTGGGATAAGAAGGCATATTTCCTTCAGGAAATGGCCCACGAGAGAAGTGACCAGGGACCTGAAAGACCATGAGGTGTTTGAAGGCACCTGGACTCAGCTGGGCCTAGGAGAGACCAGTGGCCTTGCTGGCTGTTTGTCGCAGGTATAGCCTTGTTGGTCTGGATTGTCCCTAGAAGCCAACAGCATCACGAGACACTAGATAGGGTCTTGTGGCTCTTATGCCGGAGTGGACCCTGGGGCTGGGGAGAGCACAGTGAGAGGTCATTCATGGAAGGTCATGGGTGAGCTCTGAGGCAGATGTTAGCACTGTAGATGCTGACCCAGCCCTGGACCCTGAAGGTCCTACCCTGATACCACGTCCAGAGCTTAGGAGCAGCCTGGACCGTTGACCCCACCAACTTCTTGCTCAATATGGAGAGGGAACTGCTCTCAGCACCTGGCCCAGATGTGCCTCTGATGGATGGAGAAGGCTCCCTGCCCGCCCAGCACCATGGGGCTCAGTGGGACTTGCAATGGCCCAGGAGGGTCCCCTGACACAAAAAGCTTAGGGCTGAGCCCTTGCCACAGGCCACCTAGCTGCAGCATTGGGTATAGCACCCCTAGAGTTCACTCTGCAAGGTGCCTGGCTGCATGGGGGCAGGGCTGGGCGGAGGGGGGACGGGGGGGGGGGGCTACTCTGCTCTAGCTCTTCTCTCCTGGCAAAGCCCAAACTCCAAGTACATAAGGTGGATAATACAGCGACAGAGCAAAAAGCATGAAGGTAGAATGGGACTCAGGGAGGCCTGGGAGGACATGCAGACCATTGGGAAGGGTTCTTGGCCTCCAGGTACTTGACCCAACCTGCTTCCCAGGGGAGCCAGTGGGGGCGAGTGGTTTGCTCTCAGACCAGTCTGAGTCCTTGACATCCTCAGGGGTCCTCTCTGATCTGCTGCTAGGCTAGAAAACTACATTTTCTAAAACCTCGGCACTATCGCTTTAGCATGTTTACAGTTACAAATCAGAACTTCCCCTTGCTGGTCTCACTTCAGCAGCATATACCAGATTCGTGGAGCATCATATTCTTAAAAAGAAAAGAATCAAAGGAGAAATGCCCTCACCGTCGCATTTCTCCCACAAGGGACACGCGCCGCACGCCTTCTTGGCGGAGGCCGGGGGAGCACAGCTCTCGGAGCCCATCAGGGAGAAGTTTTTACCCTGACATTGGAGGGCATGCACCTTGCAAACCGTCAGAGGCAGTATCCTTTGGTTTTTCTCGTCCCGAGCACATACACCCAAGGAGGACCTGAAACGAATTTTTTTTAATCATATTATTTACCAGCTTTTCATTCTTAAAAGCGGAGGGTGAGAAGTGGCAGGTGAGGCTCTGAGCTCAGGGTCTCGGGTGTCATCGCCCACAGCAAAGAGACAGGAGGGAAACTCACACCTCCTTCCTCACCAGGGCCCAGCCCCACCAGATCTTCTCAATGAACATATTTGGCTCTCTATTTGCTCACAAATTCTAGAAGCTTAGATAGCTAGTCTGGATCTAGTTTCATCTAGATCACAGCAGATGAGAAGAGAAGGCAGCTCTGCTGGGACAGCTGGGGGACTGACCACAGGGAGGGACAGAGAGCACACCAAGATCCAGTCCCAGAGGCTCTGGCGGGACTGGACCACCGGCTGCAGAACACTCACACTCTCCCAGCCCCGAGGCCCTGAGAGTCCCGTTCACAGTTCACAGCTGATGACTGAAGCCTCGAGAAGATGAAACTGTTTCATCGCTAATGGTTGGTGTCTATGTTTACAAAATACTTTAAAAACCTTTCCATAAGTAATTGTTATTTTTTTCTTAAGCATTGGTGTCAAAATGATGAGACCCAACTTGGGAGAAATATAAACAAGCACATCTCCCCCCGCCAGCATGGCTCAGTAGTTGAGCATTGACCTATGAACCAGGAAATCACGGTTCAATTCCCAGTCAGGGCACATGCCCAGATTGTGGGTTCAATCCCCAGTGTGGGGCATGCAGGAGGCAGCCAATCAGTGATTTTCTCTCATCATTGATGTTTCTCCTTCACTCTCCCACTCCCTTTCTCTCTGAAATCAATAAAAATGTATTTAAAGAAATAAAAGCTGGTTTGGCTCAGTGGACTGAGCGTCGGCCTGCGGGCTGAGGGGTCCTGGGTTCGATTCCAGCCAAGGGCACATGCCTGGGTTGTGGGCTCGATCCCCAGTGGGGGATGTGCAAGGAGGCAGCCAATCCATGATTCTCTCTCATCATTGATGTTTCTCTCTCTCCCTCTCCCTTCCTCTCTGAAATCAATTTAAAAAAATACAATAAAATGAACATATGCTCAGGTGAGGATTTAAAAAAATAAATTAAATAAAATAATAAACAAGTGCATATCTGAGTGTTGATGGGTAAGGAAGGCTTTACTGTAGTGAAACCTGGCACAGCAACGCATTTTTGTATAGCAGACCAAGTCTATCTTCACTTGTATATACATTTAGTTCTAATATTTCCTCTCTGACCAAGTAGTAAGTTTACCTGGAGTTGTTTGCACCAGGAAAACAAATCCTGGTGTATCTCCTTTATCTGCTTCTTTAGACTTTAAATAGAGCTACTCAGAGCAGCCTCAGAGGCAGAGACTCTGCAAGGCCACTTTGTGTCGGGATCTGATATGTAATCTCACACACACCACCTCTATAAAGAGCAGGCTGCTGATAAAGAAATGAATCGGAGAATTTGGAAAGATGATGAAAGTGAATCAAAGTAAACAATGATTAATAGAAAATAACAGCCCCCTCAGAATATCTGGGGCCCAAACACCGTTGCCATCCACACTATTTCACTGAGTTCCTCTCTCCTTCACGGGAGAGGTTCCTTCCCGTAAGGTGCCACCACGACCACACTACCCTCTGCAGGTGTTCGTGGAGTTGGGTGTGCACGTGGATGGTGATAATAACTGAAAGCCACGTAAGTGGCCAGTAAATGTGTGTTCTGAGGACGTCCGGGGCCTGGATATCTCCCACGTGCCTCTACAGAGTCACTCTCTCTCTTCTCCACGCTGCCCGGAGGACTGACGGGTAAGACACGTCCCCAGACCTCCTTGTCCTCTAGCTTTGGGGGCATTTCATCGATGGGGTGCGATGGCAGGAGACCGGAAGGGGAAGAGAGTGCAGATCCCCTGGCTCCCTCCTGGGGGATTTCTGAGGTCCTTCCTCCGCTGCCGTCTCCATACCTCCCTCTGTCTCTAGGTTTTCCTAAATGCTCCTCTCTTGATCCTCCAGGCTTGGGCATGGATATATGCCCGAGCTGTGACCCATCAGGACCCTGCCCTGTGGCTTACAGTGTCCTTTCCTCTCCCACACTTCAGTTCATTTGGAAAGACGATGACAGTGAATCAAAGTAAACCCCCTCTGTCCTCATCCAATCCTGCCATCTGAACCTGATGAGGACCATGGTACAGACATCTAGCAACTCCTACAATGGGCTGGTTTCCAGGTGGCTGACAGCTTTTGTTTTATTAATCCTCACCCAGGAGTATTTTTCCACTGATTTTTAGGGAGAATGAAAGAGAGAGGGAAAGACAGAGAGAAACATTGATGTGAGAGAAACACATCGATTGGTTGCCTTCTGCACGAGCCCTGACCATGGCCTGGGCCAGGGAGGAGCCTACAACTGAGGTACTTGCCCTTGACTGGAATTGAACCTGGGGCCCTTTGGTCCACAGGCCAACTCTCTACCCACTGAGCCAAACCGGCTAGAGCCAGTTAGGTGGCATCTTATAAAGCAATCTAGAGACAGACATTTCAAGAATCAGAAAAGCAGCTGCTTTTTTCCCTGTCGGCATTGCTTGGAGAGTTTATGTCTCAGGAGGATTTCAGTCCTACTCCTCTCAAATTTGAAACGCTCAGGTGACACTTTGTCGTTTTGCACCACATTATAGAAAGAACAAGTAGTCGTTCGGCCTCGCTAGCCAGGTGAGAGCACTGCTGATGCCCCAGTTGTCAGCCCAGGTGACAACTTGCCAGGCAAGTAACAGGCAGCGGATCAACAGGTGACAAGGCACAGAGCCTTAGCCCTTGGTAAGCAGCACCTTCCACCAAACAGAGACTAGCATCCAAGAAATCATTCTCTTAATCTTGAGTAAAATGAAACAGAGAAGTGAGCGAAGACAGGGCTTACCGACATTCGTAGGGCATTTTACAAACACATCTGGAATTCTTCACTTTCTCCCAGGGCTGACACCGAGGCACTGCCTGTGTCACAGGGCCATCTAAAAAGGCAAGAGAGTCGTTGGGAGAAGAGCCCCTTCGTGGTAAACAGCGCATCATTTTCAGGGTGAAACTGGCTCTATAATGTTCTCAACACGTTGGCACAGTAAAAATATAAAGCTGGGCCCTAACCGGTTTGGCTCAGTGGATAGAGCGCCGGCCTGTGGACTGAAGGGTCCCAGATTTGATTCTGGTCAAGGGCACGTACCTTGGTTGCGGGCACATTCCCAGTAGGGAGTGTGCAGGAGGCAGCTGATCGACGTTTCTCTCTCATCGATATCTCTAACTCTCTATTCCCTCTCCCTTCCTCTCTGTAAAAAATCAATAAAATATATTTTTTAAAATTTTTAAATATATATATATATATATATATATATATATATATGAAGCTGGAAAGCATTTTACAAGGGATAGAACATTCCTCAGAGCACCCTACAAATAGCATCATTGGTCCCAGCAGCTGTCGTTCCTCGAGCATTTACTATCAGCTATGCACTTCTTATACACTGAGATATCTAACCTCCCTAACAAATGCCCATCTAAGAGATGAGGATAGTAAAGGTCAGAGAAGTTATGAAGTTGGTTCTACTTCACAGATTTAATAGGTTGGCCAGGCCAGGATTCAAGTTCATGCTTGTCTGAATCCAAGGCCAGTAGAGCAGGCTCCTTTTTATCAAAAAGTTGGTGCTCAGGGCTCACTTTGGCAGCACATATACTAAAATAGGAACGATTCAAGGAAGATCAGCTTAGGCCCTGCTCAAGGGTGGCATGCAAATTCGTCATAGACACAGACTACAGAGTGGTCTGGAGACATTTTGGGTTGTTACACTAGAGGACGCTACAGACGTCCAATGGGTGGAGATCAGGGATGCTGCTAACTACTTCACAACGTATAGGACAGGCTCCCACCTGGAATGAATTACCAGGCCCATCATTCCAATCGTGTTGGAGTTGAGAAATGCTCATCTAAATGTACCAAAACTAAAGTTCAGGGCTAAAGCCATGTAAATTATTTATGCATTTTGATTAGAACATCGTTTGGTAATCATTCTTAAGGATGAAATTTCAGATTTTAAATATTTTCTAAACATTATTATAATGTCCTTGTGAAAATTATTTATAGAATTACCTAGACCAGAACTTTTGCATTTAAAAAGAGCATAACTTTGTTTTCTTTGTAGCTCAATTAGCCAAATAAGCATTCTCTTAGGACTCACGTAGAGTATGTACCTTTACTATTTTAAAGCCAGATCATCTCCACATCAAGAGTAAACCCTGACTGGGCAGGGAGTAAGGGTTTAGTGTTTAATAGGTACAGAGTTTCCGGTTGGAGGATGAAAAAGTTCTGGCAATGGTGGGTGGTGATGGTTTCAACAATAAAGGGAATGAACTCAATGCCACTGAACTGTACATATTTAAACAAGATTAAAATAGTAAATGTTATGGTATGTATAGTTTACCACAATAAAAAAGACTACGTATGGATTCAGTAGGTATTTTAAAACATTAACTTTAGCCGAGCCGGTGTGGCTCAGTGGATGAGCACTGGCCTATGATCAGGCTTGATTCCTGGTCAGGGTACATGCCCAGATAGTGGTCTCGATCCCCAGTATGGGGTGGGCAGGAGGCAGCCAATCAGTGATTCTCTCTCACAATTGATGCCTCTCTCTCTCTCTCTCTCTCCCTTTATCTCTGAAATGAATAAAAATTAAAATAAACATTAATTTTGGAGGCTGACAAGCCTGGAATTTTTTACTGATTATGGGCTTATTTTAAGGGAAGTTATTATTGTTATCAACATCTTCCCAAAAACATGCAGGTCTGAAAAACATCCTTCATTCAAACTACAATAGAATTTGCTACTGAGTGGGAGAAATTTTATACCAAATTGTGCTATAATAGGGCTGAGGCAGACATTTGAGAAAGACAAGTATATAATTTCCTTTGGAATGAAGGAGCAACCTCATCAACCCTACATTGTTCTCTTTACTTTTAGAATCACCCGTCTATTGCATGGATATTCCAAATAAATTTGTATTTCTGCTTCAGTGCATATAGGAGAAAAAACACCCCTACCCAGTTTGGCTCAGTGGAGAGAGCGTTGACCTGCAGACGAAGGGTGCCAGGTTCGATTCTGATCAAGGGCACATACTTCGGTTGGAGGCTCGATCCCCAGTAGAGGGCATGCAGGAGGCAGCCAATCAATGATTCCCTTACATCTTTGATCTTTCTCTCTTTCTCTCTCCCTCTCCCTTCCTCTCTCTGAAATCAATAAAAATATTTAAAAAAAAAACACAAAAAAAACCACCTGTCTCTGATATGGGCCTTTGGCAGCCAAAGAGCAGGTGGTAGCTGGTGGGGTGGGCATTCCATTAGACAGGCTGCCCTGCTGTCCTGTCCTCTATAATCTACTTAAACAGTGGTTCTCAACCTGTGGGTCGCGACCCCTTTGGCGGTCGAATGACCCTTTCACAGGGGTCGCCTAAGACCATCCTGCATATCAGATATTTACATTACGATTCATAACAGTAGCAACATTACAGTTATGAAATAACAGCGAAAATAATGTTATGGTTGGGTCACAACATGAGGAACTGTATTTAAAGGGCCAGAAGGTTGAGAACCACTGACTTAACGCCACAGCTGTGGCTGCATCCGTCACAGGGGGCTCCATGCAGCCTGCTTTTTGTCATTGTGACCACCTAAGTCACCTCATAGTGTCACTCATGGAATCTAGTACTTCATTCTCACTGGCAAAGACAAATTTCAGCACTGGGCTCAAAATCGTACACTAGGGAAATAAGAATACCATATAAAATGGAATGCAAAATTGTTTCTTCTTTCCTGTTTTTAATTATTCCAAACACATTTTTTATTTATTTAAAAAATGCAAACAAGAAAGAAGAGGTTCTTTTAAAAACAAATCCATCTCATCTACAATATCTCTTAAAAAGAAATAGTTTGGCTTTCCAAACCTCTTCCTCCGTTAATTTCCTTGAAAAACCATTTTAATTTGCCTAATGTTCAAAATAATAGACTTTTGGTTTTACACTATTAAGAACAACTTTGCAAACCACAACATATTTTCTTCAATAACCTCTGCTTTGTAAAATGCTTTTAATTTTCTATTTCAATAATACGAATAAAATCTCTGAAAGCCCATAAATAAAACATACAACATCTTATATAACTTATTATCTCAACTTTGGACTACATTAAAGTACATTTAAAAATCAGAAGGAAACCAAAAATAAGCTTTTCAAAATATTTTTCCTTGGCACTGTAAGTGATACAAAGCTAAACTTTGATATAAAGGATTTCAGTTCAAATTCAAGAATCACCAGGGGTATCCTTGCCTTTCTTTGCATTCCATGAATCTATCTGTGCCATGTAAAAAAAACCTGCTATTTGTTCTATGAACTGACTGCCTTCTCATGGCAGGCAGAGGCAAAGGCAATTATGGTGACTCAAGGCCTTAAAGGACCGCCGCAAAGACTGTCACGTGCTTGGGTGCAGGTGTCCTCAAACCGACCTGGGACTGCTCACCTCTATGGACACATCGGACATCCTTTATCTCAGGACTCCACTTAAGGCTGGATCCACAGATAAATGTCGAAGGACCTTCTAATGACATGCCACGTGAACAGGAAAAGGTCACCTTGTCGCCAACTGCGTAGGAAGGTTTCTGGGGATGACTCTGTATGCCGTCCGTCAGTGTTGGTAGAACACAGACAATTCCTAAAGATGGAAAAAGAAGAAGAGCAGAATACAAGGGCCATTGATTTCCTAAACCATCTTTGTAAAAACATGACCTCCTTGAATGCCACTGTTAGACTTGCTCTGCTTTTTCACCTTGGAAGACAAGAAAAAGAGGTGAGCTCACTCTTAGGGTGCCCACAAAGACATGTCCCACCGGGACCCACATGTAATTGACCAATGAAAGACTGAAGACCAAAACAGTTCCCACCCACAAAGCAATGTGACAACTTAAAATACATGAGCCTTATAAACTGAGACCCGAAGTCCAGCCTGCTGTCCAAACCAGACTTTTCACAGCCGCCACGAATCTCTCCAGTCTGGTAGAACTTGCGCGGGAACTGTGTTTATTTGTGTGTCATTAGCATGTATCCAGTTGCATATTTTACTAGCTGAATTTTTTTAAAAAACTGCCTTTAACCTTGCAAACATAAATGTGTTAAATGTTATTTGGTTTCCAATCTTTATTCTTTCTTGCTTGGTTATGTTTATTAGTTCAAACTTCCTACTTGAAAAAGCAGCAAAGAGAAAACTGAGAACTCAGCATACATTTTTATGGAAAGCAAGTCAGATTTCACAATTTTTTAAAAAAATTTTGGCAATCTCTCTAATGGACCTTGGACAATAGTCTACAAACTACTGCTCTATTTCTGCACCATTTTCATCAGAAAATCCATTTATTCATTCATTCAAAACAGCATCTATTGAGTGCCTCTATTTTGCCAAGAATGTTGTGTGCTGCTGGGGATACAAGTTATGAGTCAGGTTTTGAAGGCCTGAGATTCCAGAGAGAAAGGAAGACTAAATGGTTACAGCACTTGGTGGTGCCTTTCTCCTTGAGGTATTTGTAAACTTGGTGGGGAAAATGCTGAAAGGCTGCTACACAGAGGAGAAAGCTGCAGCTCAGAGGCTGGGAGACAGGCATGAAGGCAATGATTCAACAACTGGAGTTTTGGGGCTAGGAGAGCAGAAACTAGAGTCCAGTCCTGCTGAGAAGCGACCTAAGTAGAAATTCCATGTCAAAATTTCCACTGGGATCCGTTCACTAATGGCCACGCACTAGGAACAAAGGTAAGCTGGGCAGGAACCAGCCTCACTGCTTGCCAGGCACAGAACTGAATCTCCTCTCCAGGAAGATACCATCATCCAGAGCCTCAAGTCATTTCTCTAATTTTCACACCTTTAGTCTGGCGTTCAACCAAAACTAATCTAACGTTTAAAAAGATAAGAATTCCCAGCTCGCTCTCCCTCCTGGGAGCCCGCCCGCCTTTCGCCTTTCCCTTTGCCTTGCTCTCTCCTGAGCTCCAAGGGTCCTTCTTGTTCTTGTATAACTTTTCTCCTGATTCCATGCCCAGCTGGCTCACTTTTCCTACCTCTGTAAATTTCTAAATAAACTTTCTCTTATAAATAAATAAGATTTGACCAAAATTTAAAAAGACTATAGAAGCAGACCCACAGCAGATCCAGATAAAGGGATTAACGAACGTGGTCCTTGAAATAACTATGATTAACATGTCAAGGGGGGAAATAAATGACAATATGGGTGATTTCAACAGAGAATTAGAAAGTGTAAAAAAAGTAGATAAATGGAATATCTAGAATTGGGAAAAAACTAAGAACTCAATAGGCTTCTTAAAAGCACATAATATATAACTGTACAGAGAATTAACAAACTTTAAGATAGGTCAATAGAAAATATTTAGAATGAAACTGGAAGAGGGAAAATGATATAAAACAAAGACAATAACATACATAATATATGTAGTCTAAAAATGTATCGTTTGTGTCTCAAGAGGAGAGATGAGCAAGACTGGGAAAGAGGTAATATTTTAGGACACATGGTCAAGAGTTTTCTAAAATTGTCAGAGAACATTACAGCACAGGTTCAAGAACTGCTTTGAGTATCATCCAGCCTGAGACAAAGAAAATCATTCCGAAACACATGGGAAAGAGTTGCTTCTGAAAAACAAAGACAAAATCTTAAAAGCAGACAGACAGGAAAAATATGATTTCAAAGGAGACACAGTAAGTCTAAGAACTGA